CCGGATAACAGCGAATACAGTTGTTTAGTACCAAATGTACTCGTTCACAAATTGCATTGGCTTGAGGATTCTTCGAGGATATTGGTTTCGGCTTGACTGCATAGCTCGCAAGCATCTCACGGAACTCTGTTGTGTTGAACTCATTACCTCGATCGAATACAACTTCCTTTGGTCTTGGATAACGACATAACCACGTAACGTCGAAGTTCTCTGCAGTGGTTTTTCCTTTGTTGTTCTCTTGGATCGATACTTCTAACCATCTCGTGGCTTCATCAATCACGGTTAAGGCGTAGTATCGGTCACTACCATACGGTCCCATGGTGTCCACATGCACTACATCAAATGGATCGACGTTATGCATTTGACGCGGTGGTAGTTTGCCATACGCTTGTGGCCCACCGTGTAGCTTGGCACGCTTACATGTTAAGCACTTCTTCACGAAATCTACGATTGTACGCTCCATACCGGACCAATAGTAAAACGACTTCATCGTGTGATATTGGCGTTTCGCACCTGGATGAACCAACTGAGTGTGATACCATTCCACCAATTCTTGACGTAATTCCTTTGGAATCACAACACGATGCTGGCAACTAAGAAGACGTGCACCCATTATGTTTTCGATCTGATAATCGGGATTGTTGGTGCCGTTCATACATGTTTGCACTATGTTTTGTGTGGTCGAGTCTGCATCCTGGTGTTGCTTGATGTAATTTCCGTCAAGCACACACTCAACCGGATCGATTAACAGGGCTTCTAGCTCAGCATTTCCTGTCTTCTTACTCGTGTCGTACGTCATTCGAGAAAACGCATCTGCAGCGATATTGTCTCTCCCTGGAATGTGCTTGCACGTGATATGGTATTCCGACAAAAGTAATTTCCAGCGCTTGACCCGTAAGGAATTTTCCGTTGGATAAATGAGGTTCTTATGGTCTGTATGGACCACAATTGGAAATCCAAGTAGCATTGATCTGTACTCTTTCAAGATCTCAACCACAGACAACAACTCCAATTCCGTCGTTGTATAATTCTGTTGTGCTGTAGTGAGGCTTCTAGAGTACGACGCTATCAGCTTCCCTTGTTGCTCGATCAATCCACCCAACTGCTTTCCACTCGCATCTGCATAAATCTCGAACGGTTGCGAGAAATCTGGAAAGGTCAGAAGTACGGCCCTTGCTAAAGCTTTCTTGATCCCTTCAAAAGCGTCGTCTTCGCTCGATGTCCATTGATTACAACCTTCGGTGACGTTAATCTCGTCAGCGGCTTCAACATCGCTGTCTTACTCGGTATCATTTCCCGGTAATAGTTTATCATACCGATAAACCGACGTAGCTCTTTCTTATTCTTTGGCCGTTGGATTTGGAGAATGGCTTGGATCTTTTTCTCTTGGGGCTTGATCCCGTCTGCATTAATGGTAAAGCCCAAGTACTCCACACTAGAGCAGAAGATACGGCATTTCTTACCATTCAGTGTCACGTTGAACTCCTGCAAACGTGAAAGCACCACTCGTAGATGTTCCAAATGGTCTTCTGCCGTTCTGGAGAAAATGAGAATATCATCTAGATAGACGATAACGAAGTCCAAATCGCCTAAAATTCTTGACATACACGCTTGGTATTCGTCTGGCGCCGTTGAGATTCCCATCGGCAGTCTCTTATACTGAAATTTACCAAACGGAGTACAGAATGCAGTAAACGGCCTGCTCTCCTCAGCCAGTTGTCTAGCGTAATATCCCATGTTAGCATCCAGTGTTGAGAAGAACTTTGCACCACCAAGTCGAACGAAAACATCCCTAATTAGGGGTACGTAATATGGGTTACGCTTCAGGAACTTATTCAAAGCTCTGAAGTCAGTTAGCAATCTCAGACGTCCATCTGGTTTCTTCAAGAAAAACGCTGGGGAAGACCACTCGCTACCAAAGATCTGTTCCAACACGTCGACTTGCATGAGTCGATGAATCTCTTTTCGTGCTGCATTCTCTTCAGACCTTGGAATCGAATATGGGCGAGCTTGGACAGGCGTGTACTGTTCTGCCATAGGCAGAATATAATCTGGAAATGTCATCCGTCCTAAGTGTCCATTATACAGCTGCTCAAACTGCGTTAACAGCACCAGAATCTGCTCGTATGTGGATTGGTCAATATCTGCCGTTCCCACCAGATCCTTCGGTTCCACTGACGTGTCGTTGATTTCTTTCACCTCCTCCTGCACGTCTTCGCCTCCTCTTTCATCGCTCACCCTGGACTTGTCTCCAGTGTTCACTGCCACAGTGTTGCCTTTCCACTCCACCATTCCGTCCCGGAAGTTGACAATTACTCCGAGTGCACTCAACAGATCCCGTCCAATCACCATCTCGTCTCTGGTGTTGTTAATGACTGAAAATGTGTGCGTAATGCGAGATCCATAATTCAAATCCATAAACCGGAATTGAACTGGCGTAGACCCTGAAGCTTTGACATACCCATCGACTTGCTCATAAGTCCGATCCAAGGGAGTCATTTCGAACCCAAGTTCTTGATTAGCTGCTAATAGATCGGCATTGATGAAACTTGTTCCGCAACCTGTGTCAACTAACGCCACGCGCTCCTGCAATGTCTTACACAGTCGGAAACGGAGACGCATTGGCGGCTTCCTGCCTGGCTCTTTGTCATTCAGTATTCTGCTGATGACCTTACACTCACTTTCATCGCTGAACGAGTAATCCGAGGCCATTTCTTCGACGTTTGTCATCTTCGCCTCCTCCGTTTTCTTTGCTGCTGACCACTGACTAGTACCACCTCTCGACGCATTCTTCTGCTGCGTAAAACACTCGCTGTCACTATGCGAACTTGTCTTGTGTAAGCTACACCACTTATCACTGTTGGTCTTATCACGTGACTGGAACTGCTTGGACGAGTTAAACTCCTTCTTGTTCTTCTTCCCGAAGTGTTTCCCATTATTGGCCTTCCCACCATTCGGCTTACCGCCATTCTGCTTACTGCCATTCTGCTTGGCATGCTGTTTCCACCCTCCAGCATGGCGCTCTTTACCTTGACGTCGCTCGGACTGCTCGAGTCTCTCGAAGTACTGTACGGCTTTTGGCATGGTGGTGAGGTGAACTCCGCTGAACTCATAGGCGGTCTTCCACTCGTTTGGCATGGCCCGCTTAAATGTACGGATCATTGACTGCTCGTCTATTTCCAGAGCATTAGTTGGTAGGTTCTTAAGCATGCGAATAATCTGACGCATTCGCTGATGGCATTCAGCGACCGTTTCATTGCGACGCTTCGCAAATAGAAATAGCTCTTCTTCGAGCCGCTCGTGGTACATATTAGGTACAAACATGTGACCCCACGACTCGTATGCCTTCTAAAAGGCATCCTTGTCCGTCATGTCCACATCTTCCGCTGTGTCAATCCACGCATCCAAGGCTTCATCGTCAAGCACTAAATGCAAGTGCTGTGACTTCTCTTCAGACGTCCACTTCTTCATGATACTCAGATGCTCGAACTGCTGTATCGACCGCAGCCACTCTTGAGCCGAGCCTCCACTAAAACGCGGAATACTGATCTTGATAAACTCACGTTCGCGACCCGTAGTCTTCTTTCGTGTCGTAACCTGGAACGTTACTGTTCTGGACACATCCGCACCTTCTTCACTCGTTGTTACTTTCTTGCCTTCCTTGCCTCCACAAGGTTTGAGATATCTCAAAGTGACAACCCTTGGCTCGCAGAGGGGCTCTCAGCAAGGTGTTAGCTGTAGGTCGTGGCTTGCAGAGGACCTGAGCCTTATTTGGCAAAAGAAGAAGTAAGTTATATTAAGTATGTATGCTGTGTGGCTGCCCACAACAACACTTCAAGCTGAGAAAGGAAAACTAGAAATTTGAGTCTCACGTCGTATGCGTCAACTGGTCATACCACAACTGGAGCGAACCTCTTGTTAGTACACCTCGAGCGATGGTGGAGCGCAGCAGAAATAGTCGGAAATCTGATTGCGTCCCCAATGACAGGTAAGACAGTTCGTAAAGAATTCTGACAAAAGCCAAAAGGCCTCGACGGTCGGCTTCAATTCGTAGTTGACGCTCCCAATCAACGAAAGCAAAATTTTGCGTCACTTGGGCGTAACCTCATTCCACTGTTGTTCTCACTTTCGCCATCCTTTTGTTAAATGCTGCCGCCCAAGGCGTGGGTTCCGACCGCGAAACATCGTCATCATCTTATTATTATTTGGGTATGCCGAGTCTCCGAATACGAGATACTGGTTCTCCATGGTATCATCGTTTGCGTTCAAAAATGGCAGCAAGTTTGATGATAGAAGTATGTATCCGTCACCTCTGCGCCCATCTTCGCTCCTGTAGCAGTGAAGGAAAACCCTGGCAAGATACGTAAATAGTTAACGACTTGAACACGAAAAATACGATGCTCTTACCATCAGGGCCCTCAAGTGTTTGATACTTGAAGCAGTGATATTTCTTGTGTCCGCTAAACTGGGCTTCTTGATTGTGTGTCGGGCGTCAGTTCGCTACCTTCTTCACATCGATGATGCTCCAAACTCTAAGCTGCCGTGGAACTCGACGACGCCAAAATGCCTCAGCGTAGGACTGTAGCCGCTCCGGTGTTGTTGCCTGCGAAAACATGATTGGGTGCTTTGCTGCTTCTAAAACCAGGTGAATCGTGTAGGTGGTCATTCGGCTAAGCGCCGACTCAAAGCGATCGTATCGAATTTGCGTATCTGCATAGCTTCGTGGGTAGCTCAACCGCTCCAACAAAAGACAGAGGCCTAGGACATCATTTAGGCTTTGAAGTAGAAAGAATCACCTCGGCACTTTTACCTTCTACAGCTGAGAATTTGTCACGGTGATATGGCGTGATGAGTACGGCGGGAATCTGCATCAAAACGACGAGTCGCCTAAAGTCCGTCATGCTCAAACCGGAAAAGCGGCTTGCAGTCGGTGTCGGACAACTCGTTTAAGTCGAACGTTATCATCGGCAGCACGGGAAGGTCTCGATGTAGAAAGTAGCCTAGAGAAAGTCCACCATCTGCCACGCTCGGCGTCCTCTGTACTGCCTGACGAGAAGCAAAAGATTTCCCGCGTCTTTGCCGCGAATGTCGCGGCTGTTGCCTCTCCACTGAAGCGCTGCTTTGACCGGGGTAAATCGTCGAAGCAGAGATTTCATCACGCAGGCAGCGTAATGCTCCATCTCGGCAGGGTGCATGTCCACGGTGATGTCTTGTACGCCAGCATTCCGCATTGCGCTCGGGAGCTCTGTCAAGATGCAGAGTGATTGTCAAGACTCATGCTCAATTTACTCTTATGGTGTTTGTGTGTTTGAACTGCAATCTTGGCGCGAACTTAGAACCCGTCAGGAAAAGACGCAGTCCGTGCAAAGCCGCGAATAAGGTTCGGCCTGCACTCAATTCCCACTTATTTGCCCCGTTATATTTAAATAAATGAAGCCACAGAAAATATAGCAAACAGCTCACTGTTTCATTGTCAATTGCCGTTCGGAACCGTTGCTCTAAGCACTCGAGCGTGTTATTGCTAATCAAGAAAATATTTTTCCGTAACAAATGCTAAAAATAGCTCACACCATCCCAGTGGGTGCTCTATTGCTATCTAAATTTATAAATTTCAAGCAGGTGGCTATTCCAAATATGAATAGAGCGCGGGATCTGTTGCAACAGCCGCATTCGGCAACGGACTACCAAAGCACAAATCCACCATTCTACAATGGGACGCGGGCGCAAATGGGAGACGCAGCAAGATGAAGCGCTAGCTCGCGCATATTTAGACCTCTCTCAAAACGCCATTCAAGGTGCAGAGCAGAAGGCAGCGTCTTTCTGGGATTCAATTCTCAATCGATTTAATACCGCAACAAAGCCGAAGAAGGAGGAAGTTCGTACTGCGCAAGCGCTTCGCAATCGATGGTCTAGTATTTCTTACGACGTGGCCAAATTTGTGGGGTGTTATAGTGTTATTAAGGCCCGCAATGAGTCAGGCAAGAGTGCGGATGACGTGATGAAAGACACTCGATTACTATTCAGAGAGCAACAAGGATCCGAGTTTTCTTTCGAGAGTTGTTGGTTGATTCTGCAGAAATGCCCGAAGTTCATGGATGGGATTAGAACCCGTGGGTCCAAATCTAACGCTGGTGTGGCTGGTGAAGTAGAGAAGGAGAGGTTAAAAGGACGAAAGAAAACTAAGACTGATCTAGCTGCGGAAATCGAGGATTTCAAAATACTGAAGCAACTCGTGGATGACAATAAAGAGCGAAACTCTGTACTCTTTGAGCAAATGAAGCGCAAGAACGACTTGATTGAGGAGCAGCTTACAATGGACCTGTTTAAGACAGACCCGAATTCTGAAGAATCCAAAACCTTTTTCAGTTTCATGCGCAAGAAGCGTCTAGCTTCTATCATGGATGGAGAGGCAGCTCATTAAGAAAACTATGCAGTAAAGGAGACCGGTCCAGAATGTTTAAATCGTTGTTTGATCCCGGAATACCGAAAAAAGCATGCCATATCCATCGATCTGCAGTGGCAATGGCTTCAAGAACGACAGTAGGAGCTCCTTCTTTTCCACGATAGTGTCCGTGCCAAGCTGTCGGACAATTCTTCCATTGCCAGTGAGTGCAGTCCAGAGATCTCAGCAAACCCGGCATGCCACGACTCTCATTAAAGCGCAGGATCTTCCTAACGTCATCTGCTGTTGGCGCCCGCAGGTACACTTTACCATATATGTCTACCACAGTCTTACAGAAAGCGTGAAAGCTCTTCATCACAGTAGTCTCTGCTATTCGACAATATTCGTCCTGTCCATCAGCAGAGATGCCGCTTCCTAACATGCGTAGAGCTGCAGTCATTTTCTGCTCTGGAGATGCCCCCATCTTGCCAACAGCATCAGGTTTCCATGCAAAATAAGAATTCGCTTCCGTAATATCGATCAATATCCGCCGAAAGAGTACTGAAGGGAGCCCGTAGCGTCGTTGGAACAGAGTTTCGTCGTAGACCGGATTAGGACCGAGGTAGTCCCGCATTATTGATTCGTGACCGAGTAGAATGTTCCGTTCACGTGTTTTCATCCTTCCGGGGACTGAGCCCCGGCGTGGCCGGCCTCTTCGAATTTTAGAACGGCGACGTATAATAAGACTTAGAGTGATCTCGGCGTCAAAGCCATCAAGAACATCGATGATGTTGTCATCGTCGTCGTGGCGTAGCAGCGCTTGAAGTTCCATCTATGCTGGATAGCGACCAGGCGAGTGGTCATAGGCAGAAGTATTTATATTTCTATTTTTGAGTGGCCAATCAAAATAGATTTAAACTCGTGATTAGAAATAGGTTTGCTCTAAGGAGCTCGAGGCTACGGAGCTCGAGGTGTGATAAAAAATGCAGTACGACCAAATTTTACAAATTGGTGGTCTATTTAAAAAAAGGTGGATCATTTAACTATTTAGGTATTCACAAATTATATTAAAAATTGTCATGATGTAAACTTACTTTTTTCAAATTACTAATATATCTTTTTGTGGTATTTCGGGGCTGTTTGTACGAATGACATAATAAATTTGATCTTTACATGAAATGCTATCTTTTTAACGCAAGATCGAAAATCGCGTAGAATAAATAAATCAAAAAGTTACTTTTTTAAAAACAAATAGTCAATTATTTTGGAAAGTTTTTCGTATTGTAAATTTGTTTTATTCGCGGTTCAGTGCTCGCAGTCGCTGTTCGAGCTGGTAGAGGGTGATTGGTGATGTTGAAATACAGCCACCCGGGATCTGTTGCAGTAGCTTGTCCAGTACTTCGATGAGAGAGTCGTGTTTCAACGAAATGCTCCACTTACGACGCAAATAATACGTCCTATTTTGAATTTTGCGACGCTCCTTTTTCTCTTTTTGACGCTGTTTGATTGCGCCCTTGCTGCAATCACGTTTTTTTTTTTTTCTATTTTTCGAATCGACAGTTGAAAATACCTTTCGGCACTTGTTGCAGCGTCGCTTGGGTAAGGGCCCAGGCTGGCCTAAGCTCTTCCTCTTCTTCGTTGTCGCCTCCATTTTCTGGAATGAGAGAATGGCGAGGGCGGACTAACTGCATTGTTATATTGTAATTTACAACGTAACAATTGTAATTGTTCGATTGTCAATTCCAAATTGTCATTTGCATTACATGTATTATAATGTATTTAATATTTGTTTTGAAAAGCAACGAGACCAATTGACCTTTTTTATATTACTTACACATGTACAGTATGCATCCAGCATGATGTAATTTTAAATTACTTTCCAACCTGTAACGGGCCTGGAGTGTCTTACACGTAACAATAAGGAAGCGTACAAGTTCCACGATAGTGAAACCAAGTGGTTAGTCTAAAGGAAAATCAACTCAATTTTTATTTAGGTCCAGGGCAGCTTGCCCTGACCACTCAAATACACGTCAACTCCTTATTGGTTGATAATGGGTCTGGCTCCCCATAGATCAACCAAATAGGATGACGGCAGTTCAGCACACGCTAGTCGTGTGCTGCGGCACCTACTTTTGTAATTTAAATCTACCTACTTATGTAATGGTGTGGCCCACTACATCACCCCCCCCTCTTAAAGTTGCACTTACGCAACATAAGCGACGGGCGGAGAACAAATCAATCAAAAGGGAAACGAGAAAGAAATCGTGGCCAACAGGAACGAACGAGGCGGGGACGAGACAGATCCTGCGCCACGCAGGAGAAGTACAGCACGACTTGCACAGCAAACAACAGGCGCGGACGATGGAACAGCAGCAGCAGATTCCAGCGACGGAGACGTCGCTGATGAGCGCGACGACAGCGGCACGCGGCACCCACGTGATGGACGAAGCGCTGAGACCCTGGCCGCTGTATGACATCTCCGGAGCGCAAGATACGGAGCCTCTGGACGAGATGAAGGACCTCTTCCGGCGTTTTCGTGCGCTGCGCCAGAAGCCGGTGGACGGCGTCGACCACAGCGCGTTGCAGGAGTCGTGGTACGCCTTCATCCGGTGCTGGAGCCGGACGCAAGAGCAGAAAGAGAATCTCGCCGACTGGATCGCATACCGGGAAGAAATCATCGGGGGGGCATTCCTTGGGCGATCTGCGTGTACGAATCTGCGATAGCGCTTGGAACGCCGAAGACCGTATCTGCTACGTGCGAGTTGCTGAAGGCTGCAGGAGGTGCGTGTCGTCTCGCCCGACTACGGACGAGTGGAGAGCCCATGTCGCCGAGCATCCGCTCAGTGATCGCGAGAGCGCCTGGATCCAACGTTACCGTCGCTCGCTGTCCGAAAAGGCCAGCGCCGCGCCGGCTCGCGCCGGCAATCATCTCGACGAAGCGCATCTCCGCCGCTCCGTTGGGATTACGAGAACTCGGGTCGTCGTTCTCGGTCGCGCTCGCGCGATCGCCAGCAGCGTCGTTCTCGGTCACGTTCGCGTGATCGCGCAGACTGGAGATCTCGTTATCGAGCGTCGCGTGATTATTCGCGGCGCTATCCGGCGCAGGAAGACTGGAGTCGTACTCTTGGATCACATCCGGGACATCGCGAAGGAGATTCGCGCGGGGCTCCCACGTATCTTGGTCCGCCGGAAAGCCAAGCCATCGTACCCTATAGCGGCGCGCGGCAGGATCCGTGCGACTGGTGGACACATGGCGCTGCCCCGACCGACAGGGCGGGTCTTCGTGATCGACAATCTTCTCGACTATCCAGCGGATCTCGCCAGCTGAGTCGACAATCGGCGGGGGCCATCCCGCTGATACGACTGACGTTCTGGTTGGGAGACGCGAGGAAGATCTCGCGGAGAGCTTCTGGACGGCGTACCAGGAGGCGGAGGAGGCTCAGGACGCGGCTGCAAAGGCCGCGTGGACTGTGACTGAGACTCGTCAGTCGAATCGGGAGCTCTTGGTGCGCGTGAGGCTTCTTGAGCGCGTGGTACATTGTCGTCTGCAGAGTGGGACGGTGGAGCAGGCGCCTGATGTGAATGGCGCGATGGCTCGGCGCGCGCGTCGGGCGGGGCGGCCGCTATATGCGCCGGCGGCTCAGGAGACTGAGTCGAAGCAGGAATCGAAGCGGGCAGGTATTTCTTGAGTCGTCCGACGTAGAACGTCGGATGTAGCCGCAGCGACGTAGGGAGATCCAGCGTGTAAGCCTCGCCAATAACCTTAGTCACCGTAAATGGCCCAATAAAGCGCGGTGCGAGTTTACTCGCGCCGAGGTTTGGTTACGGCAGAGTCTCTGATTCCTGATG